CTCACTACTAGGAAACATATGTAGAATTTCATGTTTTGTTACTAAAATTCAGGACTAATACAACTTGGTGCACTCCTATGACAAGAAAAGCATATTTTTCAATCACACACACACACTGAAGTGAGGCAGGGAGAGATATTTAAAAAATATGCTTCACACACACATATTTTTAAATAGGCTCAGATAATTATTGTGAAAGCATATCATGCATAGCTATTGATACCCCTTGGGCATATAATGAGAAATTATTGTGAGAAAGAGCAACAGATCATCTTTGCAATAATTTTTATGCTCACTGTTAGGCAATATATGTAGAATTTCATGCTTTGCTAATGAAATTCAATAGTAATACCACTTGAAGCATTCTTATGACAAGAAAAGCATATTTTTCAATCACACGCACTCTCTAAAGTGAGACAGGGAAATAGATAGCCTCGAAATATGACTATGAAAGCATTTAATGCATAGCTACTGATACCTTTTGGAGCATATATTGATAAAAAATTGGGAGAAAGGGCAACATATAATATTTGTCATCATTTTTATCCTCACTGTTAGGAAACATATGTAGAATTTCATGCTTTGTTACTTCAAGACTAATACCACTTGGGGCACTCTTATGATAAGAAAAGCATATTTTTCAATCACACACACAATCTCTTAAGTGAGGTGGTGAAATAGATAGCCTTAGATAATTACTGTGAAACCATGTCATGCATAGCTCCCGATACCCTGTGGGGCATATAATTAGAAATTTTTTGGAGAAAGGCCAACATATCATCTTTGTCATCATCTTTAAGCTCACTGCTAGAAAACATATGTAGAATTTCGTGTTGTGTTACTAAAATTTAGTAGTAATATCACTTGGAGCATTCTTATGACGATAAAAGCATATTTTTCAAACTTACACACGCTCTAAAGTTAGACAAGGAAAAAGATAATCTCGGACAATTAATGTGAAAGCATATCATGCATAGTTACTGATACCTTTTGGACATATAATGAGAAATTATTATGAGAAGGGGCAACGGATCATTTTTGCCATCATTTTTATTCTCACTATTAAAAAACATATGAAGTTGTGGTCTGTTTGAGCATGCTCATCGAAACCTATTTTTCACAATTTATGATTAGAAAAGCATATTTTTCATTCACACACACAATCCATAGTGAGACAGTGAAATAGATAGCCTCAAAAAATTATTGTGAAAACATATTATGCATAGTTCCTGATATCTCTTGGCGCATATAATGAGAAAATATTATGACTAAGGGCAACAAAACTTCTTTTTTTATGAGAAGAAAAGCATATTTTTCAATTACACACACACTCTGAATGAGGCCTCGAAAAGCTACAATGAAATGATATTATACATAACTACTGATGCCCCTTGGAGCATATATATTGTCATAAAGGAAAACATAATATTTTTGTCATCATTTTATTGCTCACTGCTAGGAAACATATATAGAATATCATGCATTATTACTGTAATTCATTACTAATACCCCTTGAGGCATTGTATGAATCAATATTGAAAGGAGAGGCAAAAGTTCATCTTTATCAGCATTTATGTACTCACAGCTTCTCTTTTTGCTATCATAGTAATAAAATGGCTAAGACCAAGGAGGTTGGTCTGCCCACACTGTGGGGAAAAGAAACCAATATATTCTTTTGTGACCTTTACCTCATCAAAATTTATCTGAGCGATAGGCCCATTACATACTTCAACAAGGGTGGCAGAATATTGTAAAAAATTAAAGGAGAGTACAGGTGGAGAGTATGACAGGATGTAATTGAAGAACAAATGTAATTAACTCAAGAAGAATTGGAAAATTCGGAAGGAATCAAAACAAGCATCAATAGACTTGGGTTGGGATCCGGTGAAGTGTACCATTGATGCGTCGGAGGAGTGGTGGACATAGAGATTTGCGGTAAAAATTTTTCCATATCATATAATTCGATCAATTTCATTTTATTTACTAAATGAAGTGTATATTATGATATTGTAGGTGGTGCGCGCTACGAAGAAATTTAAACTTTGTAGACTTGAGCCTAAGTTGAAGTTGAAGTTGGGTCGGAAGTTTGGGGTGTTGCTACAGGCAAATATGCATGTGCGCCCAGTGAGACGGGGTGTTTTGGAACCCTAGATAACTTGGCAGCTGACCTATCAGGTAATTCAACCTAAGTACCCAGCTCGAACCTCCATGAAATCGAGTTCACCTACTGTTCTAAGCTTCCGTGGGCAGACGGTAAAAAGAAAGGTGGGGGCTGCTTTTGTCAAAAATTAGATATCACAATTGGCAGCTTCTTCTTACGCTGAACCTCATACTGTATAGGAACATTTCATTTAGCAATCGTGCAAATTTTGAATGCAGATAGGGAAATTTCTGAGGATTTGTCTCCATACTTATTTGTGGTAGAGAGGCTTGAAAATCCAACAAACAGAGATTTCTCGTCAAGATTCCCTAAGAAAAAAGGGTGGTGTATCTACGCCATTTTTATAATCAAAGGGACATTTGAGACACTTTTCTTATTTTGTATTCCTTGGGACACATTTATTTCTGCATTTAATTATGTAATGATTTGGTTCTTTGAACTAAAACTACTTGGTACTTTGCTAGATAATATTCATGAATCCTCATTATTCATAAATCTTTATTATTCATATTTCACAACTGATTGGGACATGGTTTGTTCATAATTTGTTAATTATTTTGTGTCAGCTAGTATAATATACACCTAAATGGATGCAGCCAGAGAAAGATAGAGAAGGAGAGCCGCAGCAATGTACTTAATCCACGAATATTACAACATGTACATTGATCGCTCTCTATATTTGACCTCATCATATATTATCACAGAATGAGACAAGAGATTCAGCAACATGTTCCGCGACAAATGGGTGAGGAATTGCTTGTTGGACAACCAACGAGATTCAGCAACATGTTCCGCATGAGACAAGAGATATTTAATGATCTTTTGGCAGAACTTAACTGATTTCACAGAATTCATGGGCCATCGAGGATTACTTTATGAGAGGTATTGGTGATAACCCTCTACATATTATCACAGAATGAGTCAATGAGAGGAACAATAGGACAATTTTAACTCCTTCGAGTCGATTAGTAGATACTTCTCAGTGGGTCTGAATGAACTTGTGAACCATTCTATGCAAATCATTAAACCAACAAATTCAACGTTCGAATGGACTCCTACGAAGATTTCACTCGGTGCATGTTGCATGTGTTTCTTTAAGGTAACATTTCTAATGCATTGGAGTAAGATTTAAATATACAAGTTGTGCTTTAAAAACTCAATTCTTATTTGAGTTGATTACATCGAAGCAATTGATGGAACCTTTGTTGATGTACTGATTCCAAATAATGAGAACATCTCATTCATCGGATGTTGCAGGCCCCTACGCAGAATGTTATGGTTGTTTACGACTTCAACATGTGTTTTAACTTCGTCATATCTAGTTGGGAGGGTAGTGTGCACGACAGTAGAAATTTTAATGTGGTAACGTGGAATACCAACTATAACTTCCCACATCCTCCTCAAGGAATGCTCGAGCCCCAAATACTTTAGCGATTCACTTTAAACTTCATACTAATTATGTAATGTATTTCAGGAAAATATTATTTGGTGGATGCTGGATATCCGTTGCAACGAGGGTATCTCAAGCTCTTTCCTGATGCGAGATATCACATATCATATTTTGAGCGAGCCAACAATGTTACACGTTACAGAAAGGAGCTGTTTAATAAAAAGACATTCCTTTTTACGCAGTGTTATCGAGAGGAATTTCAGCATTTGGAAAAAGTAATGGGTTATACTCTGTGATATGTCATTTTACATGTTTCTCAAACGGGTCTAGATTATAATTGTCACGATGACTCTACACAATTATATTAGACAGCTTCCTTCCTCAGCGACATTTACTTTCATTTGGCTGACGAGGATCAGAAGCATGTACCTCCGGAAGCATTTCAATACTACCTCGGGCATTCCCTGTCACGAGTTAAGAATGATCAATGCATTATTTGTACTAGAGAGGGGAAGGGTGCAAGCAAAATGACAGAGCTAAGGGAAAAAATTATTGATGCATTAGTAAGAGACTGATTAGATTATTTGTAATTTATTCAGTACTATGTTTAATTCATTTTCTTTATCAAAACATTTTTGAACATTCATGTTGGATAGTGAGCTTTCAGTGCTATATTTCTTTTATTCAAAGACATTTGTACTTTACATTTTATATTGCTAATTTGGAATTTTTATGCTATTTGTAAGTTTAAATTTTCAATTACTTCTTTTATCAAATTCAATTCCACTAATGCATTGTCTTTTACAGCATTCAGGAAAGATTAGCTCATGAATTTCAAAAACATCCTGACGATTGCTTAACCTGTGCAAACCACACACTTCCCTACTAAATTTACGTCGGGCTCATATCTGCGAGAGAGTTCTACAACTGTCCGCATATCATCACAAAACTGTGTGACTTCTTCTGTTGCGCAGAAAGTTTAACAAATTCCACGGCCAACAGTGATCGAGAAGGTATACCATCACCTAGTCATTGTAACACAAAAACAATATAATTATTATATTAAATATAATTTTAACAGATTTTGAGTTTTTTTGCACTCTTGATACTCGTTGTTAAGTGAGGCGTGTATTTAAATTTTTATATTATTCTAAAATAAATTTCTACTTCTGAAGTATCGAATATATAGCTGACAGTTTTGTTATGCAACAACAGTACTAAATATGGGCAGAATAGCTATTTAACCAGAATAAACTGCAATAAAAATATTTTCAAACAGCTGAAACAAACAACCAACCATCTTCCCATCAACAGCTTCCTTGGTCAGTTAAGCTAAGTTGCAACTGATAAACTGATAAGCTGTAGCTACCCCAAACAGGGTCTCAAAACTAGGGCCCAAGTTAAATATATTTTATTTTATTTTGCCCTATTAATGAAATTAAATTAGACTAATCATCCAAAACCAAATAAATATTGAAACAAAATACCATACATATGACTTATCATCATGTTCCTAACAGAATAAAATCATTCAAAAACCACAAAAAAAAAAATCAGAAATCACGCAGAAAAGAAAACGAATCAAAAACATTACATAAGTACTCAATAAATAAAAAACAAGACAGTTTAATCGACCAAAATCAGGCTTGGACAGCAACAGAAGGCTTGGACGCAGCAGAAAGCTTGGATCTTCGCTTTGCTAAACTCTCGCTCCTGCGTTCTCTCTGCTCCTTGAGTCGACTAGCAAGAAGCTTCTGGTACTCCGCAGCCTCAGACTTGGCCTTAACGATTCTGTTCTTCTTCTCAGCAATCCTAGCACGCTTCCTCTGCAGCGTGAGGGGAGTCACAAGCCTTTGGATCTTTGGTGCTTTGCTGCTCTTCTTTCCTGCAAATAATAAAAGGCACGTTTTGTTAGTACATTTTCAGAGCTAAAGTATAAACCTGGAAGAAGGTAAAGCACTTTGTTTTTATTTTTTATTATTTACATAAATAGCACTCAATTCTTATGTATTTACATATCTAACGCCTGAATTTTAATTTTTACCCATGCATGAAATGATTGTTGTATTTCACTTTTTAAGTGTTAAAATAATACCATTTTCGACGTGATATGAATGATTTGGATTGAATAAAGATAAACAGGTAAGTTTAGGTGTTAGATATGCAAATACATTTTCAGGTAATGTTATTTTAATAATTTTTTCTTTATTTTATTACTGATGATACTCACTGTTAATCTTATTTTTGCACTGTTCTTAAATGAATTTTTGCTTCAAAAATATCAAATATATTGTTATGACAGTTTTGTTGTAAACAGTATCACTACACGAGCGGGATGGTCATTTGTCCAGAAACAACTGTGTTGCAGCTATTTTCAAACAGCAATAATAAACAAACAGTTAGTCAGTTTATCCACAGCAGTTTCTGCACAGCAGCTTCTACGCAACAGTTTTCTGGGACAGTTGCTGCAAGCAGAACTAAATGTTACCTTAGACACTTAAAACAATATGTTATCGCCTAGACTGATCAAATAATTGAGTATGAAATCTTTTTATTATCATTTATTTTAAGTATCAGATAGCCTGACATCTAAATGTCAATAAATTTAATCAATGCTAATACAAAAAAACATAAGCGTCATATGCAACATTCTTATTTAATTACACTTATCTCCTTACACATACACAATATTATAATAAAACGTTCATGTGCTCCCTGAAATTTCAGTTACCTCCCATTTTTGACGCTATAGCTTAATGGGCTAGGGTACATATCAAATAATAGAGGATACGACTGTATACTCAAACAACAAATCAAAGTTAACATGTAATTTAGTATTAGAAAAGAAGATAAGAGTAATCTAATTAAAAAAACATAGCAGATAACCATAAGAAAATTTAGGGCACATTTCATTGATGGAAGAAAAGTAATACTTTCATTTCAGAACTCAATTATCATATTGCAAAAGTGTGTAAATTTTAAAACTTGAGCTGCTTCTAATTTCATTCATTCAAACAATCAAAACCAATGAACTTCATCAATTTAATCAAGCGCACCTGACTTTCTGGTAAAAGTCCGTCGGTACGTATTGACGTACTTGCGGACATCGTCATCCTTGGACAGATTGAAAAGCTTGCGAATCTTGGAGGCCCTCTTCGGTCCTCTCATCCTAGGTTTCTCGACGTCAGTAAGCCCAGGAAGATCATTTTCACCTTTCTTCACAATAACCAGGTTAAGAACAGAGAGATCAGGGCTCACAATACAGCCGCGAACAGATTTCCTCCTTCGCTCTCCATTGCGCCTGCCATATCCACGGAAACAAGGGGTTCCTGCCAAAAAAAATATCTGATCACACGTCATTTTACCACCCAATTCCCACATATTTACATATCTAACACCTAAACTTTGCTTTTTTACATTTTTACCACCCACGCCCAAAACTTTCGTATCACATCAAAAATATCACTATTTTAACTTTTAAAAATGAAATACATCTTTTCAAGGTAAATTAAGCTGTCGTAGCAGTGAGAAAGTCGTTGGAATATTCATGGCTAATATAGTGTTATATACAGAACCAAAAACAAACATCTGAAAGGCGCTCCAGACCTCTGCTTAGTAGCAAGCGAACGCGTCCAGGAGTCAGAACTCCCTGCTTCATGGGGAAGCCCTGCTTGTCGCATCCTCCCATAATCTTAAAAACATAGCCCTTGAATTCCTGCCACAGAGGATAGTAATTAAATAAAATTGTCCCATCAGTGTAGATTGAAATTACATTGCAATGAGAATTTGTCTTCTATTTAGTTCCAAGTGTTATATACCTCTCCAAGAGCATCTCCGCTGACTTCCTGTGATATCCTTTTATCATAAAAAGCTCGACTGCAGGAGAAGCAGAACGTGATGTCAGAAGCTGCTAGGTAGTAAACAAACTAAAATTATTAGAGCATAAACCTAAAAGGAAAAATAGCCCAATATAAATGAAGTGTTCCATCAAACTTGGAGTGACATTACAGAAGCGTAGATCAGCAAAAAAAACATCTTTAAATATATTATTTACAGATAACAATATTAATTAATAGTTTGCAGAATTTATAAATATATGAGTTTATTTTTGTCTGTCAAAATGAAATCAAGTTGAGGGATTTCAAAGGTATTTGTTGACTAAAACAATATGGGCTTCAAATTAACCAAATAACAGAATTTAGTGAATTGGTCATTTTCCATAATATGATTTCTAACTTTAAGACACAAAATATATTTAAATGTAACAAATTTAAAAAAATAAAAGTTATATTCAAGGCAATCATAGCACAAGTATAAGATAAGCTGTGGGACGCATAATAGCTAAATACTGAATAACGTACCATTAATTTGATTGTGTAAAAGAATCAATAGTGGTACGGGAATTGGCATGTTAAAGAAAAAGAAAATATGTTGATCAGGGAAAAATCATAATCATGATTAACATTATATCCTTAATATCACGGCCTGGCTTTATAAATCTATTGTGTACATTCATTATTATTGAACATTGCTCATGTTATTACAATCTATTTATACTTTTTTAGACATTAACCCATTTTCCCGTCATAACCCTTTTAGTAACTTTATATGCCCTTTACACTAATGACAATTTTCCCATTATTGTATGTTAGAAGTTATTAGCATTGATTCATTTAGTTTTCTTATATTCCTGTTTTATATATTTCCTTCTTATTTTATGTCATTTACTATTTGTACGTCTTTCCTATTTTATATATTTCTTATGTTATTAGTCATATAATTTATACTTATACCGCTCCTTTCATATTGATAAGATCACCCTGCTCAATACCCAACATTTACATGGTATCAGAGCCAATGATCTAACCCTAATTGCCACCAGGGCATCCACCTAGCCGCCGGCACTCCCTGTAGGCAATCTACAATGCCGCAATATTTTTCGTGTAGTATTTTTTTCTAGTCGTTGGTGGCATCAGCTGCTCCTGCAGATTTTTGCAAAACGGACCTCCTGTAATCTTTTTTTTCCAGTCGTCGATCCTTCCTGTAGGTTTTTCTTGAACGTTCAGCCACTGATCCTTCCCTTTTTCCAGTTACGGAGCCTCCCTCCTGTAGTTGGAATCCTTCCATGTCTCAGCATCCCAACCTCACCTCTTGGCTCAGTCAGAATCATGGCGGGCTCCTCCACCACTGAGCATCCTTCTGACGATGTACTTGAGTCCACCAGAGGATTGACACCGACCACAATCCCATCGCAGATCGGAGGACTTGAAAATCACTTGAACCTCCTGATCACCGCCCATAAACTCAACGGCTCTAATTCCTCGAACAGTTTGAAGTTGTGTCATTGTTCCTTAAATGACGAGGTAAATTTGGTCATCTCAAAGTTATGATTCGTGAACCTTTGAAGGCTGATCCGACATATGTAGCCTGAGAAGTGGAGAATTTAATGGTCATGTCATTGTTGATTAATTCCATGAAAACCTCGATTGGTCGTTCATACCTGTTTTTCTGCTTGCGAGTGGCTTATGGACTGTCGTTCGCAATACTTACTCGAACATAAGTAATTATGGCCAACTCTATGAGGTTTCTAAGAAGAACCGCAAAGAAAATCCGCGAGGCAAAACAGAGATTAAGGACGGTGACCCGGTACTACAATGACTTGGTTGTCTTATGGATACGATCCCTACTACAACTACACTTGGAACTCTCCAACTAATTTTTCATTCTTCCAAAAAATTGTTGAGAAGGATCATGTGTTCCAATTTATGGCCGACCTGAACAAAAATTTCGATGAAGTCTGGGGTCGTATACTTGGTTGTGATCCCTTCAACCCGGGCGACATTCAATGAGATCTGTCACGAAGAAAGGAAAAGACTTGTCATGCTCAGCACCCCACTACTTCAGCCGAATTTTCTGCCTTGCTCTCCAATAGTGCTCAAAACTCTATCACACCTTCACGAGCAAATCACTCTACATGTGATTTCTGTAACAAATCCTACCATACTTGAGACAAGTGTTGGGAGCTCTACAGGAAACCGGCAAATAAGTCTTCAACATAATCCTCTATTGCTAAGGATCTTGCTACAACCTCATAATCCAAAAAGCAGTCGGCCCCCACTGGGACCATCCCAAAATCACCAGACTCCATGAAGAGTCAGATGGAACACTTAATTAAGTTGCTTGGATCTAGTCAGTTCTCTTCCATCTCGTCGACCTCCCATGTTCGTCAAGCTAACATTTCTATGGCACTCACTGCTTTTACTTATTTTAGTTCGAGAATTATTGATTCAGATGCTATGAACCACATGACTAAGTGTTCTCAAGCCTTCTCAATATATTCCCCATGATTCGATAAAGATACTAATAAAATTGTTGATTGTTCCTATAGTTCCATTGAGGATAAAGGGAAAAGGATCAGTTGTTCTAACAGCCGAGCTAACTTTAAGATTCGTGCTACACGTACCTTTGCCGAAGTGTAACATCTTGTCGGTCAGTAAGTTGGCATATAACTTTGATTGTGTACTCATTTTTCTCCTTATTTATTTGTCGTTCAAGTTCTTCATTCGAGGGAGGATGATTGAAAATGCTAAGTGGATAGTCGAACTGCACTTTTTCTAAGAACAAGGTTGATGACATGAACACTTCATCCCGTATTTGTAGTTTTTCCTGATTTATTAAATGTCATATTATGCCTTTACATTGTCGTTTGGGTCATTCCAGTTTTCACTATTTGAACTAATTTTGTCATTTAATGTTCATTAATAAAAATATATCTAGTTTCAAATGTGAGATCTAACTTTAGCTAAATATCAACGTGTATCATATTCACCACATGCTTACACTCCTGCTTCTTTTTCATTCGTTCGTAGTGACTTATGGGGACCCTCTCGAACTTCAAGCTACACCAATAAACGGTAATTCATTATCTTGATTGATCACCACACTCGAATGACTTGAGTTTATATATTAAAAGACAAAAGTGAAGCGGCTATCACCTTCAAAAATTCCTACTCCCTCATTTTGACCCAATTCAAAACATCTATTCAAGTCCTTCGGATCGAAAACGACCGTTTAACTTTTTAAGTCTAGATTAAGAAAACTCTTGGTAAATAAGAGCATCGTCCATCCAAGCTAAAGTAAGAATACTTCTCAATAAAATGGGAAGAAAACCACCTTCTTGAAGTTGTTTGTTCAATTATGTTTCAATCTAATGCCTGAAATGTTTTTGGAATGATGTCATCCTTACCGTCACATATCTAATCAATAGTCCCCACAAAAATCCACAACTTTCGAACCCTATTAGAAGTCTTGATGTCACGTTTTCCTACTTATTGGTTTTTCTCCACACATTAGATCCCAAAATATTTGAGAGCACGGCGTTTGTTCGGAACACAGTCCTAACTCGTAGCAAACTAGACCCTCGGTCAATCAAATGTCTTTCTCAAATATTCGACCACTCAAAAAGGCTATTGGTGCCTTGATCCTACCACCAATGAATACTACTATGTTAGTGTTGATGTCCCTTTTCTTAAAAGTATTTCCTACTTCCCTAACACTTCCTTAAGTGAGAGGGAGCTAGATTTTCAATGTAGTGTTTCTTTTCCAACTCCGTTAGATATTCCACCTACTCCTACATCCATTGTTTATGAGGAACCCTCTGTCTAACTAGATCAGCCACCAACCATCTACTCTACGTGTCTACACGGCATACCAACCCCTCGGTTGAGACTTCTCCCTACTCTTGAACCCGTTGCCTCACTGTAGTGCATGGAATCCGCTTCGACCGACATCTCTGGAAAAACACTTTCTCAACTCGTAGGGATTCCTCATGCTCTGAATGAGAATGTGACTTCTACCATCGAGGTGCGCAATCAGACGTGCTCTCTTTATCTCATAGCAAAATACGTCTCATTCCACACCTCATCACCAACCTAAAAAGCATTTGCCACTTCCTTAATGAATCGTTGTCTTCCATCCACTATTGAGAAAACATTGACGGACCCTTTCTAGAAGGCAGTAGTAATTGATGATATGAATGCCCTTCAGCAAAACCATATGAAGGATGTTATTGATCTTTCTCGAATAAAAAAAATAGTGGGTTGTCGGTGGATTTTTAACACCAAATTTAACTCCGATAAATCCTTTGAACGCAACAAAGCGTGAATGGTCGCCAAAAATACTATTCGCAAGGCTATGGAATTTACTATGAGGTATTTGCTCCAAGAGCTAAGTTGAACACTATTTGGGTTCTATTATCAATCTGGATTGCCCCTTCCTCCAACTGGAAGTCAAGAATATTTTCCATAACGACAATCTCGCAGAGGAGGTGTATATGTCTCTGCCACCGAGCTTTGACTCAACCTCTTCCCGTGGACAAGTGTGTCGACTGCGGAAGTTTATTTGTCGATTGAAAGAATCTTTTCGGGCCTTGTTCAATAAGTTTGCAAAAGTTATTGTGGGTCATGATTTCTCTCAGGCCTAATCTGATCACACGACGTTCTTCTGTCACTCATCTGAGATTTACTGACCAAGACAAAGCTACTTTGCAAACTGGTAGTTGTTGTAATGGATCCCAATGAGAAGGTGGCAAATGCTCCCAATGCATCTCCGATGAACAAGGCACACTACCAACGTTAAGCAAGGAAATTCATTTACCTAGTCCATATGAGCCCGGACATTAGTCCTGTCTTTGATATTGTCAGTCCATTCATGCTTGGTCCTTACGAACATCACCCCACCACTGTACATCGGATCATCCTCTACTTAAAAGGCACATCGGGCTAAAGTTTGTTGTTTTCTCATCACACATCTCGCTCTGTTGCACTTTATAAGAAAGTCGACTGGGATGGATTCGTCTATGATCGTCGATCTACCTC